AGCCGGGCCGGGGCCTCAGGATTACCTGGGAGTCAGCCGGCCCAAACTCTAGGCACGAATCGTCGACCGAAAATGCGTGCAGGTCCCCTACCCTCTTGATGGAGGCGAGTGCAAGCAGGAGCAGAGTTTTCATCGATAGAAACTTCAGCTCAACTCACTGCAAAGGCTCAAATGGGCCCTGCTGTAGTGCTTTAAGCACTAGAGACAGGTCCCAAGAAGGTATAGAGGGGATTTAACCTTCTCGCGCCCCTAAGGAACCTGATGACCAGGTCATGCTTCCCTACCGACTTCCCTTCCACGGGGTCATGGTTAGCAGCAATCGCAGCGACATTGTAATCAGGTGCTAAAAAAAAAAGAGTACCCATTAAAATGTCTTTACATCAAGGACCCGATCATAGAAACAATGCACAGTACAAGCGCAGCGTTGAGCTTCTTGAGTCTGTTCAGTAAGGAGTGTTTTGATTGGTGGATTAAAAGCTCACCGTGATTGGCTGAACGGAACATCCTCCAAAAAAATATATTTATGAATCTTAACCTGCCAGGAAGGTCTCAAAAATACCGCACACAAATTCAAAGCAGTCCACGCATGTGTGATGATTTGCAAATGCAGATTCAACGATCCATAAATACATGTAACATCATTCATAAATGTGTGATGGAAATTAATTCAAGAACTTGATATATACATATTTGTGTAAACATTTTAAATTTATTTAGGTAAGATGCTTTTGTGTGAGCATTTGGGGAAATATTTATGCTTTTACTTCTGTATTTATGAATTGTGTTTTGAATTTACGAATCGGATTTTGTAAATGTAAATTGTGCTGTGCATTTATGAATTTTGTTTTATAAATGTATTATTTTTGAGGCCGATCTGGCTCCATACCTGACGAGGCCCGATCAGAATGCAGAAGTAACTGAAATCATTTAGAATCTAGATCATGTCTAATATAGTCAGAACCACGAACAAGCCACGCCCTCAGTCTACACTTTCAGTTGTTACAGTTTCACATGCTCTTACTCGTTCTAAAGAATATAGCAACAGGTGTGTAAATAGGCTATAGTTAGGTGGCAGATATTTATACTTCAATACTGTAGTACTTTATAAAACAGTATGCAATAACATATTGAGTGCAAATTATCATATATGTAAATTTTATTAGATGAATGCCATGCCACTTTATTGGGACAAAAACCTCCCTACAGCTAAGCATACCTAATAACACTGTATTATTAAGGAGGCGTTTTATTTCCACTTTTCAAATATTTACTTAATTTTTATTGAAAATAAATGCCTTTCCGATCTGGTATGTGATGGGAAAAGGAGAAGCAGGAGTTTGACAAAAGCCGGAATCGAACTCGGGTCGATCGCGTCAAAAGCACACACTGCGCCACTGATACTGCAGATACGCAGGAGTCTTTTGCAGTGCTTTTTAACGCAGCCAGCATTGGTGGGCGGAGTTACTGTAAATAGCTTCTGCCAACAAATTGGTCTATTTGTCCTTATACACTCCGTTTCTTTTTAGAGCTGCTTTACAGCGGAATTGAATTCTGTTTGCGCAATTGAAATATTATTTTATTTATATATGTATATATATATTTATATATTATATTAATGCAATATTATTATTATATCCTTGAAACAATCAGTACTGTATAAAGCCCTATAGAGATAAAGGTGATGTCGTTTGACTTGATAGGAAATGTGCCGTAGAGATTGAAGTAGATTTTATGTCCTACTAACGATATTATTTTTAGATACACAGCCATAGTTTGTAGTTGACATGCATATATGTATATACGTACATATACAAATGTTACATTTATAATTAGCCTACTATTCCCCACCTCCAGTTCACTCAAGTGTTTGAAGATGAAACGTCACATGGAGCGCGTTGCATTCTGGGAAACAGTATCCCATGCAGTGTTTTCAGATGCATACATCAAATTTCAGCAAATATAGCAGGTAATCCGGGCATTCCATGCATACAGAAAATTCACATACTATTCACAGTATACACACAGCATACTGCAATATAGTACGAGTTGTATGGTAGTATGCCATTCCTAACACAGTTTGTGTAGCCTACTAATTTCAGTGCACTTGAGTTATATTTAGCAGATTCTTGCAAATATAGTAGGTCATCCGGGTATTCCATGCATACAGAAAATGTGCATACTATGCACAACATACATACAAACTGTTCCTATTCTTTGTTCATTTTAGATTGCTCTGGACTAAGGTATATTATACCCACATGTCAGGGATGGATAGACTTTGAGCTCTAAAAGGCATGGGTCTCAACAGATAATCGCATATTGCAAGACAAAGAAGAGAGCCTAGGATCTTCCGGATGTTTCTTCTGGTGAGAAAATCCTGCTCTGTATTTTCATGCCAAATTTTACATTATGGACTGACAAGCACACCAACACACACTTAGGGCCAGTTTTACTAAACAGGGCAAATTAGCGCGAGAGCACAATTCCAAAACAGCGCCGATGGGCGTGGAAATTTCTGCGGGTGATTTACTAACAACACGCAAATTAAATAGGTGCTATAGTAACCCACCATTGGGTTATCTGTTGGGTCATTTTTAACCCAACTATTTTAAGTGAGTACTAGATACTGCAGAAATAGAGTAGTATGATAGTATGGCATTTCGAACGCAGCCTCTGTGTTAGGTGCGGGTAGTGGGTGCGGTTTATCACTAGGTTAACCGCACCCACTAGCACTAGGTTTTTCTCTGAAGTTGGGCAGTCCATTACAGACCCAGCTTCATTCAGAGTTTGTCACCGCAGAGAGAGGTTGCATTATCGCGCAACAGCGTAAGATGCTCAGCTCTTTTTCTGTTCTTTTCTAACTTGTATCACTAACAAACTACCTTTTTAAAATTATAATGTTACAAGATTTTGACAGCTGACGTACGCTGCTGTTTAACGAGCGTGTCTGATACATTTTTAGTTTTAATTACATTTCACAGCTTTTCTAAAATTGTTTAACAATACGTGAATACTCGTCTTGACTTGTTTTACCAGTTTAGTTTATTTGTCCCCTCAGGGAAAGTATAGCGGCGAACTCACACGGACATAATAACAAACACAATTTGGCATACAAAATCAATACATAATTCCATAATCTAATTTAATAAATAAGATTTGTCCAGACCATAAATCCATTCTATTGTGGATATTGAACGAGAGTAATTTCTTTAAGAAATACATTCTTTGTTGAATCTTTTTATTTAAATGCTCAGTCCACACATCCCATTTAAGCTTATAATCCAATACAATACCAAGGTATTTATAGTTTGTAACTAACTGTATCGGCTCCCAATTAATTAACGTAGGGTGAAATGTATTTTTCTTTCTAAAATCAATAACCATCTAGAATATGGAATTTTGGAATTATGCAAGTAAGTGTCATCAGTCACATTTTTTGACACATGGTGCACGTCATCCTCTCTAATGAATTCTATACATTAGCTGTAGGCTCAAATTGATGAGGTTAAGATATATTCTATTCTATTATATCCTATTCTGTTCAATTCTATTCTATTCTATTAACAGCAATAAGAACATAATAGAAAAACATCACCCAACGTTTTTAAAAGCTACTTATTTTATTTTAGAATATGAATCACATGGATTCCAGTTATAAACATTTTATGAAATCCTGAAAAATATGTGACTTTCCACAAAGTTTTTGTATGTTCTGCCAGTCATATTGATATATACATGTTTGAATCTTGTTTCTGAGATGCATTTGGAGAACTGTATGACGTCAAGTTCATCTTCTCCTGAAATCAGGCCTGACAAACCTGATATTCTGGTTTCAGATATGGGTTTAAGATGCAAACTTGTTTCTGAGCGCCATAATGTCAAGCTGAAGTGTATTATCCTGAGCGTCCGTCTATTAGATTACTAATATTTTTATTCAATTTTAAGTGATTTTATTAGATTTTTTGTTAGTTGGCATTTACTTGAATGGTTTATAGTTTGATTTTCTTTCCTTACAGTTTTATTTTACATGTTGTTTTGGATAACAATACAGAAACACATGAACGATGGAACAAGGTAACATTTACAGTTTGCTACGAAATTATCATTTGCTAAATGCATTCTTTACTATAAAACCGTTTAGTCTTTTATCTCGTCGTGGAACGAACATAACATACATGTAGACACATGCTTCCAGAACATTAATTTTCTAGTTGTTTCTGAGATGCATTTGGAGAACTGTATGACGTCAAGTTCATCTTGTCCTGACAAACCTGATATTCTGGTTTCAGATATGGGTTTAAGATGCAAACTTGTTTCTGAGCACCATAATGTCATAAGTGTATTATCCTGAGCGTCCGTCTATTAGATTACTAATATTTTTATTAAATTTTAAGTGATTTTATTAGATTTTTTGTTAGTTGGCATTTACTTGAATGGTTTATAGTTTGATTTTCTTTCCTTACAGTTTTATTTTACATGTTGTTTTGGATAACAATACAGAAACACATGAACGATGGAACAAGGTAACATTTACAGTTTGCTACGAAATTATCATTTGCTAAATGCATTCTTTACTATAAAACCGTTTAGTCTTTTATCTCGTCGTGGAACGAACATAACATACATGTAGACACATGCTTCCAGAACATTAATTTTCTAGTTGGTTAACAGGTTGTTATATCACTCAGAAACTTAGTATTTTATTATGATGATAATTTCATAAATGAAATCCGACAGAAAATCTGATCTTTAGACATATTTCCAAAGAATCTAAAGAAGGGTTTCAAACCACATGTGCATAGTTGGATGGTTTGTAAATTACTTGTGTGTTGCACTTAAATGTATATTTTACGTAAATGTTTACGTAATTTTATTGTGATTACAAAGCAAATAAATATCAAAACCTAGTGATTCACGAGATTCAAAAATCAAAAAGTTAATTCACTGGTAAAATAAACTTTAGTAAATTAACTTTTTGATATTGACTGTATATTATTTGAGTTATTACACAATAAAAAATTATAATGGAATTTGCTGTTAGAATTTTCAATGTCTTTGTTTTGTTTTTTTCTGACAGAAATAAGAGCTGTTGTTCTTGGGTGGCAGAAATCTGACAAAGCCTCAGTGATAAACAGCATTTTAGGTGTTGAGGTCGAGTCTGACGAATACTTTGTGAAGTCTGTGAAGAGAGACGGTGAAGTGAACGGAAGGAAGATAGCTCTGATCAACACGCCGTGCTGTGGGAGATTTTCGGTTTGCAGGATTCACCGGAGGTTGTCAAACAAGAACTGGTTTGCAGTGTTTTTTGGTGTGAACCAGGACCTCACGTCTTTCTACTGGTCATTAATCTCAGTTTGCCTTTTACTGAAGAAAACAGATTCAGCATCGAGAAGCACCTCGGTCTCTTTGGTGAGAAAATCTGGAGACACACCATAGTGATCTTTACAGGAACCGATCCACTGAAGGACAAATCCATCGAGCAGCACACAACGAATCAAGATATTCAGCAGATCATACAGAGATGTGGAGAAAGATATCATGCCTTTGAGACTGAAAATGAAAGTACTGGAGACCAAAAACTGCTCATCAAGATTGATGATGTTGTGGCAGCAAACAATGCCAAGCATTTTGAAACTCATGATGACGTGCTACTAGAGATAAAGACAAAGAGAGAAGAAATAAAAGAAAGAGCAAAAGCCAGACAGAAAATGTTGCAGGACAAAAGAGACATACTGAAAGAAATAAGTAAGTAAACCACATGTGTATACACTAAACGTCAAAAGTCTGTCAAACTTCAAATATTTTGAAATGAAAACATCTGCTGAATTAGTTTTGTAGAGAAATATAAATTGTGACTATATATTAATTTGAGTGCTGCCAAACGATTAATCGCGATTAATCGCATCAAAAAATAAAAGTTTTTGTTTGCATAATATATGTGTGTGTTCTGTGTATATTTATTATGTGCACTGTAAAAAAAATTCTGTAGTTTTTACAAAATAATTCTGGCGGCTGTGGTTGCCAGAATAATTTTGTAAAAAATACAGAAAAACTGTAAACACATTTACAGTAAATTTTCCAGAATAAAACTGTAATTTACAAACAAGAAAATTTGAATGTAAACCAGTAAATTCAACAATGCACACTGCTATTAAAATCTGTTTTGTACATACTGACAACCACCATAATAATGCAGGTGGTAAAAGAGAAAGCCACATGAAGAATCAAAGCTCATCACAAGTAGCTTCGCCACAAGCAGAAGTATATACTAATATATAGAAGGTGCACAGAGTCATTCATGCAAACACAAAACACCATCAATATATATATATATATACACACACATATATATATATATAATTTTAAAAAAATGTAATGAATCTAATGAAATTCAAAAATGTTTCTTATCAAGTTCTAAAAATTACTTGAATGTCTAATAAAATTCTAACATTTTCTCTTAAATGTCTAAAAATTTAAGTAATGTTCATTAACATGCATTGCCCCTGTAAACAAATAAACACAATTTAAATTTTTTTTAAAACATACAATATTGCTCTAAACAATCTTAAATATCTAGCAAAATTCTAAAATGTTTTCCTTAAACATTTAAAATTCTTAAACGTCTGATAAAATTCTAACCTGACATTTTATTTATTTTGTTGTTGTAGAAGATGAATGTGTGGCTCCGCTCTCAAAACTGAGAATTGTTCTGCTGGGTTGGATCCTGTCTGGGAAGAGTTCAGCAGCAAACACTATTTTTCATAATAAAACATTTGAAATAGAAGGTACAAAAAAGTGCACAAAATACTCTGGTGTTGTAAATGATAGATCAGTAACTGTGTTGGACACTCGGGGCTGGTGGAAGTATTTTGCGCCTAAATTCAACCCAAAGTTTGCACAGGCTTCAATCCTGGAGAGTGTAGGCCAATCACAACAAATGAAATTCCCTCATGCCATGATCCTAGTGATTCCTATTGATACTTCATTCAGTAACGAACAGAAACGAATCATTGAACGGTACATGGCCACTCTAGGAGAAAACATCTGGAGACACACTATAGTTCTGTTCACGTGGGGCGACAGATTCCCAGACATCTCAATCGAGCAACACACATGATACTTAAATAATGCATTAAACTTTCATTAAACAACAGAAGATGTAACATAAAGCCCAAATATACATAACTAATAACAAAAACTATTAAAAAAACATACTAAAATACTTTCAAATGTGGAGTGTCATGCAGGGAATTCTGGGAATATCAGTTTACAGTTTTTGACTGTAAATTATACATTGATTTGTTATTACTTCTAAAAACTGTAACTAAATGTATTAACAGCATTTTACTGTAAAATGACATGAAATGTCTGGTTAGATATTTTACAAACATTTTCTCTTAAATGTCTAAAAATTAAAGTAATGTTCATTAACATGCATTGCCCCTGTAAACAAATAAACACAATTTAAATTTTTTTTAAAACATACAATATTGCTCTAAACAATCTTAAATATCTAGCAAAATTCTAAAATGTTTTCCTTAAACATTTAAAATTCTTAAACGTCTGATAAAATTCTAACCTGACATTTTATTTATTTTGTTGTTGTAGAAGATGAATGTGTGGCTCCGCTCTCAAAACTGAGAATTGTTCTGCTGGGTTGGATCCTGTCTGGGAAGAGTTCAGCAGCAAACACTATTTTTCATAATAAAACATTTGAAATAGAAGGTACAAAAACGTGCACAAAATACTCTGGTGTTGTAAATGATAGATCAGTAACTGTGTTGGACACTCCGGGCTGGTGGAAGTATTTTGCGCCTAAATTCAACCCAAAGTTTGCACAGGCTTCAATCCTGGAGAGTGTAGGCCAATCACAACAAATGAAATTCCCTCATGCCATGATCCTAGTGATTCCTATTGATACTTCATTCAGTAACGAACAGAAACGAATCATTGAACGGTACATGGCCACTCTAGGAGAAAACATCTGGAGACACACTATAGTTCTGTTCACGTGGGGCGACAGATTCCCAGACATCTCAATCGAGCAACACATTGAGAGTGAAGGTGAAGCTCTTCAGTGGCTGATTGAGAAATGCAGGAACAGATATCATGTCTTTGACAACACAGACAAGAAGAATCGAGATCAAGTCTCAGAGCTGCTGCAGAAGATTGATGAGATGGCGGCAGAAAACAGTCTGTTCTGCATCAACACTGACTGTGCTGCAGAAGTGAACGTTCATGAGACTGACACACAACAAGACGAGGAATTAAGTCTGAACACTGACCAATTACTGAAATTAATGTTCCAGGAGCTGAAAAACAGGCATAAAGAGATGAAAAGGAAGCTGCAAGAATTAGCGCTGGACGTCACTGGATGTATAGAAGCCAGAAGTGATCGAAGCATGGAATATCCCATAGAATGTAAGCTGGCAAATCTTGTCTAAATTCAATTGAGAATGTGAAGATTGCGTTCTGGGTAACTGTTTTATTTAGACGCCATATTAAGAGGTTTGTGCTTCCCTTTTGAAATTGTTTTGATTTTCATGCATGATTGTGAAAAATGTTGCCACTGTACGTCATTCCTGCTGCATCGAGAATTGCAATAGTATCATTCGGGGAGAAAACTGGACAATGTCATATGTTTATGTTTCATACGTGTAAACACACTAAGGGAAGCGGGTTGAGGAGGAGGTGACATAAAGATGCTGGATAGCAAATCTGAAGTTTTTTATATTGTTTGGATTAATAATTAAACTTTACCTTTGACAGTATGACTCTCACAGTGCAGCCACTACAAAAATGTTTGCAAGCTTCTACACTCTTTTAGAAAAAAAGGTACAAAAAGTTGTCACTGGGGCGGTACCCAAGCGGCAACCTCCCGCTTTCTCTCTTGAAGCCAACAAGGAAGTGACTTAAACTGTAATTCATCAACTGGCCGCTAGAGGCTGGCTGCAAAAGGGAGTCAATCCCATAGACTCCCCATGTTAAAATGCCCAACTTTACAGCAGAAAAAAACATGTTTACAGCCTGGTTCAAAAAATTATTTTGGTCTATATAGCTAATTTTGCCCTTCATGACAACTGTGAGGGGGGTGAATTTTTTTATAACTCATCCGTTTAAATTATATTAAGCCTTAAAGTTCTGCATAATTAAGGGCGTGGCCACTTGAGTGACAGGTGGATTGCCGCTGCTGTCACCACCGTCGAGCTAGGTGGGCGTGGCTTCAGCAACCTGCTCCCGCCTCTTTGCCCATTTTCGATTATCCGGGAGTGACGCGCGGTGACGCGCTGCCAAGATGGCGACGGCCCGCTCCGCCCACTTTTGAGCTTCAAAAACGCTCCTCAGAAATCTACGGGTGACGTCACGGACACTACGTCCATCTTTTTATACAGTCTATGGTGGTACCTTTTCAAAAGGCACACTTTTGTACCTAAAGAGTTCATATTGGTATCTTAAAGATACATATTAGTGCCTAAAGTGTACATATTAGTACCTAAAAGGTACCGCCCCAGTGACACCTTTTGTACCTTTTTTTCTGAGAGTGTAGGGATTTGATTTTGGTCTCTGATTCCCTCCGTGGCCATAGGAAAGTGAATATTTACAATGACAGCAGAACAACTTTAGTCACATTTAAATGTTTCCAACAAAGAAATGGATCGCCTTCTTTTAGCTCGTTGAACAAAGATTTTATCTGAACATTTCTACCATGTGGCAGCTGAAGCAGCAATGAGCGCCCTGCGCATGACACTGTTTTTATGGTAATTAGATACATTATGAATATTTAATGTCAAGGCAAAACCAAAAAAGATCAGTATTAATCTCAGTAGCAGCTGCCCTAGCATGCAACGCGGCGTGACATAGCTTCACATTCTCTATAGCCATATTACAGATGAAAACCTGTAAATGTTCAGTTAATGCACTCATTCTGTGTCATTTTTCTCTTTCAGTGAAAGCTGATGAGAAAGTCATGGAGAAGGTAAGGAGAGAAGGAAGCAGATGGGAAGCAATTTTAATGGACGGGATCTTGAACATTCAGAATCCTGAAGCATCTTGTGGTGAGTTATTTAGCTTTACATAAAATACTTTGCTGAAAGCAAATTTTATATGTGACTCTGGAGCACAAGTCGCTGGGGTATATCTGTAGCAATAGCCAACAATACTGTCACAGGTGGTGGTAGTGTGAGGAGCGCGGAACGAGGAGACCAGGAGTACAAAACAAAAGGGATTTATTCTTGTCACAGGGAATCACACGTAGCACAAGGAGAAGACATCAACATACAATTCCAGACCAGGGAGAACAGAACGGGCTAGAACTAAATAGGGCAGATAACGAGGGGCAGACAGGTGATGGGGATAACTAACAACAAGGAACAGGTGATACGAATAATGAGAAAAGGAACTGGTAGGACCAAATAAGGAAAACAGGAACTCACCAGGAACATACACGTGACAGATCGCCCCCCTACCGGACGGCACGTCCCGCGCCGTAACAGTACCATCGGGGGGGGGGGGCCCTGGCGGATCAGGAAGCCATGGCGGAGCAGGCAGTCCGGGTTGCCATGGCGGATCAGGGGGCTCGGGAGGCCATGGCGGAACAGGGGAACGAGCAGCGATCTCCATGCCGCGGGAAGGAAGAACCAGGAAACAAAAAAAACTTTCAAAAAACGGGAAAAAGGAAAAACGAGAAGGGGCGCTGCTTACTTTTACTTTTTGGTCTGGAATTCTGTCACGGGTGGTGGTAGTGTGAGGAGCGTGGAACGAGGAAAGAGGAGACCAGGAGTACAAAACAAAGGGATTTATTCTTGTCACAGGTGACACTGCATGTCAGTTTATAACCTGACAAAATGATGTTCTCTGCTACCCCTATACAGATGAAAATATGAGTGTCAATGAAAAGGTGTCTTGGTGGCTTCAAAAATATGAGGAATACAGCACATCTGAAACATCGGGATATAAAACAGAGCAAAATGATCCAGTAGAACATCCACAGAATCTAGAGGAGTCAGATAATACATCTGAACTGTTGGATGAAAATGTTATATGTCTGTAAAAACCAGTTTGCAAAGTAAAACTCGCTTGCTTAGAAATATGTCAGACATATGCAATTTGCAATTTTAGAAATTATTTGTTAAATGTTTTTCTAATTATGAATATTTATTAATGTTTTTGCATTTCTAATTAATAGTTGATATTGTTGTATATTATCTAAAAATGATATTACTTTACATTATAATTTTCATAATTTGAAGTAAATTTTGAATTATGATTTTATCTCAAGACGATTTATGTGCAATAATACAGTGATTTTGTATCATTGTAACCTTTGAACTGATAAATACCTGTATCAGTTAAACATCTCTCAGAGACTTTCACTGAAACTTTTCTGTTGATATAGCGATTTTAAATAATTTAATGAACTTTATTTTGAAATGATTCAAGTTAATTTACTACTTTGGATGTTAGATGAATAATTTATGCTACAATGTTATTTGTTGACAGATACTTTCAGATACTTTCATACTACAGTCATACTATACTGTGAAATATTTTACAGGCCTTATTCCAAAATATCAGTGGACCGAAACGTTGCTTTTGTTAATAAACTTCAATATTTAGCAATAACTGATAGTGTGTTTTCAGGTGTGCTGAGTTTGTGTTGATTGAGTACAGGCCTTATTTATTTATTTTTTTTGACAAGCAAAAAAGATGGCGCCTGTGTACATGGCAAGCCACTTGCTGTCCTCACCTACGTTTTTTTCACCTACGTTTTTTACTATGTCCTGCTGTTGGCTGTTTATATGTTTTCTCACGACATTAAACTATGTCGAGACTCTCACTTATGATCGTCAATCACTCCTGGACATTCATAGTCGCTGTATGGTTGTCTCTGAAACGAATTTGGGAAAGTTCGTGGACATCCCACACAGGAGTATTATACGAGACATTCCGGATTTCCTTCGTCGATGGCCGCTTAACATCACCCCGAGAAAGCGTCGGAGAAGACGCGGGAAACGCGGAGGAGTGATCATCAGACTAAAATCATATCTGCGAGCTGGCGTCCCACCCAGTTTATGTCCTTTGCCTTGGACTACGGATTATTGGCGTTTTGTGGTTCGGTATTTACCGGTCCAGTCGTCGCGCTGGCTTCGATACACCCTGCCGGTCCCTCAGGCCTCTCCGGATTCTCCAGATCGTCCTCCCCTGGATTTACATCCTCGGATTAGCCTTCGGCCTCACGCGGTGGGAGTAAACCCTGCTAATCTTCGATCCGTGAGTAAAACCCCGGTCTCACGAAACACTCTGCATTCTCCAAAAATGGCGCTGATCAACGCTCATTCTCTGGTTAACAAGACCTACTTTATTTGTTTTCTGATTTTCTGCTTGTTATATATTATCGTATGTTGTGCAGCACTTTGGTCGGCCTTGCTTCGTGCTTAAATGTGCTCTAGAAATAAAACTGAACTTGAACTTGAACTTATTGCACAAAAATGTTTCTAAATTTTACATGAATTACTGAATTATCTTAAACTAACGGCTTTTTATTTTTACATGTTTGTATTTTATCAGGTTAAATAATAAATAAATTATGGAGCTTTCAAAAAGACGGTTGTCTATAGCCCTATTCGGATGGGACTAGGGTTGGGTACCGTTCACATTTTAACTGGTACTGTATCGGTAACCTGTCTGTAACCTTTTTTCGGTACTTTACTCTCTGTGTAATTACAAAAACATCTATTTCAGTGAAAAAATAAGTCCAAAAGTCTCAATTTCAACATTTTGAACAATAGGGCCCTACAAACTTTTTCTTTCTTTCTCCCCCCCCCTTCAAAATCAAATGAAGGCATTAAACATTTATTTTAAATCAAATGAAAATTAAACCCTTTTATTTTTTGGCAAACAAACTGAGGTTTACTGTTGAAATTAATACATGGAAGAAAAATTTTGTTAATATTCCTATAAAATATTTTTTAATAGGCTAATAATTGTATTATTTTTTTCTAAAATTAAGTGATTAATCTGGTTGTAATATTTATTTTTATCATTTAATTGTTTTATTTAAATTTGATAGAAAATTGAATATTTAAAGATGTACATTATACTGTACAAAAGTAATACAAGAGTAATATTTTTCTGTTACATGTTAAACCGTACTTTTATTTTGACCCTCGCTTTTTCAGATCGATGAGCTTTGTAAAAATCGACGCGTTTCAGAAAGGCAGGGCATAGAGGAGAAACAATAATGTACAGTATGTGGAAAATAATGTGTTTTTTGAACCTTAAACCGCATAAACACATTTCATTACACCAAATACACAAAATAATGTTCTTTTTAGCAGCATCATATGACCCCTTTAACTTTTATAAAGAATATCTCTTTGGGTTTGAGACTTTAGTCTCTGCAACTTCACGGATCTTATCTGTTCACGAACAGCTTGTAACACTCCAAAGAGAAAGGAAAACTTGAAATCGTATATGACCCCTTTAAAATATAGCCTAGTATAGGAGTTCTATGGACTACTTGTTGGAGAATGACAGTTATGTCGTAATGATAGATTGAACATTGGAGTTAACGGTTTTTTATAAAGTATAAAGAAATACAACGAAAAATGAGATGCTAGGTCTAATTCTAGTATTTAAGTAATCATTTTTAACTATTTGTAAATAATATTTTAAAATATGCACTTGTATACTCTTATTTGTATGCCTAACATGACGAAAATTCAAAACGTTTCATGTCTCTGGTCATATTCAGTTATGTGAATCACGTAAATTACTCCATATTTTGAATTCTGAACGGTCATGTTTGAGGAAAAAGTCGAGTCAGTCATGTAACATTTCTATGGAAGCCCGTTTCCGCCAGGTAAGAAAAAAAAAATCATGCCTTAAAAAGTCAAAATTATGACATACTTAAGTCATAATTACGAGATAAAAAGTTGAAATTATTATTTTTATTATATGTGTTTACTACATGTTTAATAGTAACAAGGTACCATGTTGTTGTGATGTGCATATAGGTCCCAGTCTGATTTATTGTAAAATAAGAAATTATATGTGTAAAAAGTTTTGATATCGAACCAAATCATAAGACATTTCTCGTTGTTATTTCTATTGTTCGTTCATAGCCGTACCGTCCACTAGATGCAGCACGGACCGATCTGATAGCAGCTTTAGCAGTTTATGTTGATAACCAGCATTGAGGTATTATCATATACATCATTTTGTGATGTATATGATAATACCTCAATGCTGGTTATCAACATAAACTGCTAAAGCTGCTATCAGATCGGTCCGTGCTGCATCTAGTGGACGGTACGGCTATGAACGAACAATAGAAATAACAACGAGAAATGTCTTATGATTTGGTTCGATATCAAAACTTTTTACACATATAATTTCTTATTTTACAATAAATCAGACTTGGACCTATATGCACATCACAACAACATGGTACCTTGTTACTATTAAACATGTAGTAAACACGTATAATAAAAATACAATTTCATGACAGTAAACGTGTTAATGCATTAAAACTGACCCGATTCATATTTTTTGTGGCATTATGGTGTATGAAGTAACATGTTGGTTTCCATACATGCTACATCATTATTATTATAACTTGCATCTGTAAACTTCAACATTTTCACAGTGTTCTAATTTTCCCATAGTATATTGTTAAAGAACGTTTTATGCTCCCAAGTCAATGCTTACATTCTGAACATGATGCTGGATCATTCACATCTAGGCTACATGCTACGTGAATTATAATCTTTTGATTTTGTGATTCTTTATGTGCAATAGGCCTACTTCTGTAATCATTTTGTTCTCATAATTTCGACATTCTATCTCATAATTTCGACATTCTATCTCATAATTTCGACATTCTATCTCATAATTTCGACATTCTATCTCATAATTTCGACATTCTATCTCATAATTTCGACATTCTATCTCATAATTTCGACATTCTATCTCATAATTTCGACATTCTATCTCATAATTTCGACATTCTATCTCATAATTTCGACATTCTATCTCATAATTTCGACATTCTATCTCATAATTTCGACATTCTATCTCATAATTTCGACATTCTATCTCATAATTTCGACATTCTATCTCATAATTTCGACATTCTATCTCATAATTTCGACATTCTATCTCATAATTTCGACATTCTATCTCATAATTTCGACATTCTATCTCATAATTTCGACATTCTATCTCATAATTTCGACATTCTATCTCATAATTTCGACATTCTATCTCATAATTTCGACATTCTATCTCATAATTTCGACATTCTATCTCATAATTTCGACATTCTATCTCATAATTTCGATTTAGTAAGTCATAATTTCAACTTTTTATCTCGTAATTATGACTTAAGTATGTCATAATTTCGACTTTTTAAGGCATGATTTTTTTTTCTTACCTGGCGGAAACGGGCTTCCATACATTTCTGTCATAAAACTATTGTCAAATATTAAATGTTTTGCTATTTTCATCTTACCTCACACTCTTTAACCGTTAAAAACGGACGCTTCACGCGCTCTGTTTGTTAACGGTAAACCCCGCCTACTTTGATTTGATTGGCCGTCTCAATTATTTTGACATTGACGAGCGCTGTTTGACCGCTGAGGCTGACCAGCCTAAAATTGTCACTTTTAACCTTTTCATCAACCTAAAAAACAGAGCGCTGCGTAATGTAGTGTAGGTGGGAAGTGCAAGAATTTCACATAACTTTTGTGTTTGGCAGAAATAAATCACAGAACACAGGATCATAATTTTATTTTTGGAGGAACAGCGAGTTTTCGGCCGCACTGTGACTTTTATTTTGAAATTAGCAGCACGCTCGTCTGGGACTTTTACTTTGAAATCTGTGCGGTTCGGTGTCGGCAGTGAGTTTAGCATCTGTTTGTCATGACAGGAGAGGATTTAACAGTCCTGTGATCGGGTAAGATCTGTGATTCATGTGTTTTACAGCATCTACAGTGATTATGCGATGATATGATATGTAGAAAACGAAAGCGAATGATTGAAATCAGATAT